CGTACCTTTTTCTAACAAAAGGCACTTCCTGCACCGAGATTAAAGGAGCTCGATACTCTTGTCGGGTTGCATCAACATGAGTGAGCTATGTCATTACCGAGATGTGCGTTTAAAACATCAGAAACGAAAGTACTTACGATGCCTATTGACGTTGGAGTTCGTGCTTACGAACACAAGAGGAGGTTTCATTTGTTAGTCTGATGCGTGCTGTCTTTTCTACCTATCGACAAATATGATCCTGCAAGTACTTAGATTCGGAGCGATTGGCGGACACATTAAGTTTGTAGTATACTTCCCTTTCACCTTCACATACCACCAATAATTCGAGGATCGTCTCTGCATCGAGCTTGCTAAATTAACACACACCCTAGTATAGATATATATAGATCATCGAACCTCTTCATCATCGACGTACTTGACTAATAAGCAATATATGCTTCCGTGTCACACCATTGTCGTTCCATCCGGTGCACCACTGCACCAGTAAATAGCTTGTCATCTTAGGCACGCTCTGATGGGGCTCACATGTAGTGGTTGTTGAGTGGGGCGGCTTTGGACGCAACTACTTCCCATTTGACTGGTAATTTCTTATAGTTTTGCTGCATAGGAGAAGTCTGAAAAAGGTTTAAGACAATACCTCCCGCATTCGCGATAAGCTCCCACTCTTCGCTTGAAAGAGGACGATGTTACATCAAATTTTTCACGGCAATACGATACTAATGATTACAATAAACTATTGATTCGACGCCTGCACGATGCTCGCCATTCCAAATACATTAAATTAGGCTGTCGTTACGACAGCGACTACATACTGCAACGATACTCGCGAATTTCACGCCGTTATCGCCATCATTCTGACCAATTATTACATGTTAATATATAATAAACCGTTCTGGCAGCATGTAAGCTACGGAATGGTCATGAAATTCGAAATGCTACAGATCGGGACAACGTCAAGGAAAGTAATCAATGCTCGAACTTCCGCCTATAGGCCAAGCCGTTCGATGACGAGCGTCTGTACATGTTGCACTGTAGGCATCAAGAAGACGCCTCGTCTTACAAATTGCGTTCGCAGACGCAGGGTTAAGATTCGCATATCATAAACTTATCAGCCAAAATTCATAAAAAATCAGGTCGAAGTCATACAAACGGCAAGTTAATGTAACGTGTGAGAGTTTAAGCCAATCGCAAGTCAGCGTGCACACCTTGTGTACCCAAGTTGAAGGTCGACCGTTGGACGAGATCAAATGAGTGGGTAAATCTTCGCTCACTGTTTGATTTGCCACGTGCGACTCAAGCTTAAAGATCATCAAGATGCTCGGAGTCAAAGTCGCTGTGCTTGCCGCTGTTTCGTTACTAGCCATTGCGAAGACGCATGCCGAGAATGCCGTCCACCTTCGCGTGCGTGTACACTCCAAGGTCACGTGCCCCAGCGGTCAGGAGAGTATTGCAGTCGCGGGCTGGTCGGCAGATGGATGTGTTGCTTCTGGAAAAGTGTGTGTTGCTAACGTTGACGGCGAATGTCCTGCCGGTGCCCATTGCGCGTGGCTTGACACGGGCGTCTTTGGCTGCAAGGACGGCCCTAAAGTGGCGGCTGCTGGCCGGGTTGCTTGTACTGGCAGCGAACAGACCATTGGTGTTGTGGGCTGGGATCACGATGGTTGCATCTCTTCGACCAACGTTTGCGTTGCCCAGGTGAGCAACGGCGACTGTCCAGCTGGCGCGTACTGCTCGCTGCTTGACACGGGTGTCTACGGCTGCGTCGCTAGCTCCAAGAAGCATCATCATCAGAAGTCAAATGTAAAGGCAGCTCCAACCTGTCCGGCTGGACAAGAGAGCATTGCAGTCGCGGGCTGGTCGGCAGATGGATGTGTTGCCTCTGGAAAAGTGTGTGTTGCTAACGTTGACGGCGAATGTCCTGCCGGTGCTCATTGCGCGTGGCTTGACACGGGCGTCTTTGGCTGCAAGGACGGCCCTAAAGTGGCGGCTGCTGGCCGGGTTGCTTGTACTGGCAGCGAACAGACCATTGGTGTTGTAGGCTGGGATCACGATGGTTGCATCTCTTCGACCAACGTTTGCGTTGCCCAGGTGAGCAACGGCGACTGTCCAGCTGGCGCGTACTGCTCGCTGCTTGACACGGATGTCTACGGCTGCGTGGCCAGCTCCAAACACTAAGTGGAGCTCGCCAATACACTGGCCGGCAAGGACTTAAGAGTTCACCTATCGAGTGAATTGGTATAAAATGGCACTCAGTACAGTTGTGTTTCGTTTTATTAAATGAATAAGCTGTGATTGGTAATACCAAACAACATTTGCAATCGTCAAACCCAATCAATTGTTATTTTTATAGTAAAACAATTCATATTGTTATACAGCCAAGCAAAGCACTGCCACTGCATAATAAGCCAAAAGAGTCCTGTACCCCTTTGACTGCTGTAGCTGCTTAGCTATTGTATGAAACTTTGATACGCAGGCCGCGGGCTAATTTACTGGTTCGCTATTGTGACGTTGTCGTCATAAAATGTTTGCTGCCAAATATCCGCTCATCTCGATGTTAGGTTAACTTGTTTGGCCAACGCGAAACGAACTCGCGTCATACTCGTTCTGTTCTCTGATTCATCAGCATTCTAGATGTATTTGGTCATCAACGTCATTTAGGCTTCACGATTGGCTCGGGCGACGCTTGCATTCTGTAGTACGCGGCTGCTACTCATACTGCTATCGGTCTATGCCTAGCTTATCACTCCACGAGTGAGGTTTTAACTCGGTGGTACGTTTGATACTTACGACCCAGTTAGTTATCGCGATCTGCATGACATTCTTGCCACCATCGTCGAACTGATTTGGGTGATGCAGTCGTATCCGATATTGTCTTATTTTCTGTAGTTGAGTTTGAAGCATTGATCGTGTTGCTCCTGGACTAAGTATCTACCAACAGCAGCTGACTCTCCGGGCTTTAAATTGCTGTCTATGCATTGATTATGTTTAGAATTACTAAACTACTGTGTGCGGTTGCTGGGAACTGTTTGGATATTGCCTTGGTGTCTTCGTTATGACGATGATGACCCGAGTTGGGTTGTAAAGCAGCTTTCGCCAGCGTATTAGCGTTTGTATTACCGTCGTCAACAACGCTCTTAATAAGCTGCTAAGTATTTTATTCTAGGCACGGGGCACTACGAGCGTTTGCGACCGCATTAGCATGATCAGCAACACTGCAAGCTAGATAAATGCGTGTGGAATGGCAAAGATGTTGAGTTTTAGTGTACAGTAGTAGAACTCTATTCTTTTCGCTCGTGCTACATAGTTCGTGTCAAATCGGCAATCTCAGTTAAAAGTTTGCTTCTCCATGCGCCGTAGGTGTCAGATATCGGTAATATCATGTTCATCAGTTTTGACACTACAAATGCATCTTTCATCGATGACTGACGATTCATTGGTTGGCAGTCATGTGTCAGAATATAAATACATTTAGAAAGAGTACTATACGATACGCAGTTTAATCGTCTCTTGAGCCGTTGACCTTTTGATACTTCTGATTATGGCGATTTTTGTTGAGTAATGCGATATCGTTGTAGTTGAATTTGCACCGTCTCGCGTCGCAGAAAATCGTATCGTGCGACACATTTCATGTGATGACACTGTTTCTGCTGTGGATCCGTGACCGGTGCAATTGCCGCATTAGCGTTCCCACGATGCCTGCAGTGAACGTTTTTCCTATGCAAATATCGTCCTGTGATTATTATATTCTGGCTGAGGAATCGCAATGGTGCTTGAGGCCGTGATGAAAACGCAGATTGCAACAAGAGTGTTGCCAGCGATCGGAAATCAACCATGTTGTGATATGTTCCAAACTTGAAGCCATTAGAACATTTAAGTCTGTTCATTGATGGTGAAACGTTAATAACAATTGAGAAGGGAGCGGACCATAAAGTATATATTTAAATATATATAAAAAGGCTTGAAAGTTGGTCAAACAACCTGTATGCATCCTGAGATCTGTATGGAGATCAACTTGAATATATTATGCAAAATTTCCAAATGGCAAAATAGCCAATCCGAATGCCGAAAAAGGGCTGCACGGACAGAACGACAGCGAGAATGTATATACAGATACATAGACTAGGGAGTGTACCTGTCGTTTTGACGGACATGGCGCGCCAAGTCTTCGCGTTTGTATGTTGGCCTATCATTGTACCTCAGGATATCAGGTTGACTAAGGTAATTAGGAATTAACAATTTCAATGTGTATGAAAATTGGCTGCTCGAATAATGTGAAGAATACAAACTTAACGCAAGGCTTCAACATAGACAACATTGCGCATTTATTGCCAGTCTGTGAAATCCGCTGGCAGAAGAACAAACACATTCTCGGCCGCTGTGGCACGTGCGAACGCAACATATAATTGTTCATGCGAGAATGCATCTCTTGCCAAATAAATACCCATCTTTTTGAGTGCCTGCCCTTAGATTCTATTGATCCTCATTGGGCAGGCCACTCGCACTAGAGAATTGCCCCCTTCAAACCGAAAACGAGGAGGCCGAATTGCTCGGTGATTGAGTTGATAAGCGAAATATATGTAACGTAGCCCGCTTGATCACCGCTATGTACCTCAGCCTCAATCACGCGAGCTGAGCACTGACAGACAATCAGTCGGGTTCCATTTCAAAGTCCGTTGGTCGTGCCCAAGTTTCTGAGAAGCATGGCTGTAGCTCCATTTTTTTTAACCAAAGTCGATGAGG